AATGAATGGTAATAATGGCCGAGCATTCCGTTCGCATCGTTTTGTATGATTATTCCAGATTAATTATTTGTTGGAATTTAGCTGGCTAATTTTTTGGAATGAGATTTTTCCGCTTTGACTGACATTTTAATTCTAACTCGTCATGGGGAGAACTTTATACGCATTTGATATGTATGTATTCTATAGATTTGTATTGTAAGAGCAAAAGTAGGTAGGATAGGCTCTGTGGAAAGGAGAATGACCAAAACTCGGCCATGTTGCGTCTTAAGAATATATTCGATATAAATCTTATTGTGAAATATAATTCCACGTGTGTCAGAAATTAGTATGAGATGTACAGTTTGACGTTTTAATTGAAGCACTCTCTCACACTTAAAATAATTTTCAGCACCGACTCATTTTATTTTTTCATATCTTATCCATGGTATTTTGTGTAACACGAGTCGATTTGGCCTATATGCGATGCCCATGTATTTATACAAATATAGGATATTGAACCCACAGAAAGTACAGATTGTGCCCACAAATTTTCATTTCTTGTACAATGATATATCGAGTGGGTCAAAATCTGACGTTATCCTATAAAATAATGTTTTTGGAAATAACAGAAGTAAAAATACCTCATTAATGAAGCCATTTTCTCCATTTGTCGTTTATCCTTCTTTGTTTCACATTACCGAATAAAATTGGTTCGTAACAAGCTACATAAGGTGCTATTTTTGTTTAGCAAGCAGGCAAAGTTTGTGCTCTCTGCTGGAATCTCCCAAGGGGCCTGAGCTGGCACACTCTGACGACTGAACTAAGTAGAAAGATAGAACAGAATTAAGCCGGCCAATTATCCCGTATTGGATTTATTGGTAATCTCTGCACGAATGGGCGTGAGGGTGCGAAGCGGACCAACTTTTGATGATGCCTCTATCGGCATTATGAACAAGTTGTTGCAATTTTTATTGGTGGATTTATTGTTTCATTTCTTCTTTTGTTTACCCTCGGTTGTGCGTCGACAGATAAAAGAAACCCCGAATAGACTACAAATATAAATTGATCTATCTTCAATGAAAGTATTCTTTATGGATTAGTCTACGCCCTGTGCTTATATTGTTGTTTTTTTCCTTGAGTTGAGCTCTTGTTAGTATCTAGTTTCACAAATCAAAGTATAGGAATTTTGTTATTTTAAAACTTTAAATGGAATAATTTAATTAATAGTTAGTGATAGACTTTGAAAATAGTAATATGAATACATTATAACAGTTATGATTGTATTAGGGTTGTAATGCAAAAGCAAATTGCAAGGACGTTTAGTAGTTTTAAGGGTAACGCCTGTACCTAAAACTGGATCGGCAATGGAAATCATTACTATCAGACCTACTGCAGTTCTATCAGCTCTTGCAGAGTTATTTGAATCTATTGTCAACAATTTTTTAGACAAACAGTTGTCGTGACTTCTCAAATTCTTAGACTCGGCTACTAATAAGATGAACGCTGGTGGTCAAGTTGACGCTGTATATGTTGATTTCTCCAAAGCTTTGATTCGGTGGTTAATGACATTCTTCTAACCAAGTTTGCATCTAATGGCTTTTCGTCAGAACTCCTGAGATTCATAGCAGATTACTTACTATAGGAACTTGAAACAGTACGTGAAAATATGTGACTTTCGGTAAGTCAAGGTAGTGAGGCTGATGTAGTTTCAAATCATGATTTATGTTATGCCCAGTGTTTCGTCAAAAATTTTATGATTTTATGTGTTTGCTGATAAAAAATTGCAGAAAGATATTGATGCAGTTGTTAGATGGAACGAAATAAATAAATTATTATTTACATAACGGTTTTATCCTCGAAGGGGTCGGCAGAGGTGCACATTACGCCACTGTACAATGTAACACCCACTTTTCACTCTTGATGTCATGAGTCCCATGTAATAGGGGATGAACCTATTGCCATATACCGGCACAATTCCAGACTCCGTGCTACTACTGAGAATTTTTAAAACCCCAGTAACACTTTGCCCGACCCGGGAATCGAACCCGAGACCCCTTATCTAGCAGTCGCACTTGCGACCACTCGGGCAACGAGGCAGTCAAATTATTAAATTATTAATGAATGCCAATAAATATAAGCCGATCACATTTAGATAATCGTTCCAGATCTTTTCTGTCTCAGTGTCTTATGAATGAGCAGTTACATCACTCGATTTGGTGTCCTACTGTTAGTCTATATTGTGGTTAATTATAAATAAATTAGCTGAACCGGCAAATTGCGTACCACCTCTAATTTTTTTTTCTCACTTTTAAACCTAACATGGACTTCAACTACAGTCAATATCAAAATTAAAATTAATTAGACCAAATTGGTCTAGTTACTCAACTTTTACCGAGACTAACGATACGAACGACGAACTAAATAACTAGATAGGTATTTATATCCTTTAACATATTTTAACATTGTCCAAAGCACTTTTACCCTATCAATATCGTGTATTTTTTAGAAAGTGTCAATTCCTATAAGAGAAATTGATTTATCGATATAAAAGCAAAAATATGTATGTACTCAGTGGGCTACTAAAAAAATGTCAGTGATACGTCATACCCGTCACGCTTAAGCATAGCCTCTTGGGGATTGCATAAAAGATTCATACAAACTCTTGTTTACTGTATACTAACTGTTGCCCGCGACTCTATCCGCGTAAAATAATTCTGGCAGAAAGTTATATTTATTAAAAATTAATCTATATTCTTAATTAAAAAAATATAACAATACCACAGGGATTATACCCGTACAGTGCCGGATTCTGTGGGATATCCAAGATAAAACTATCATACGTGCTTTCTCGTCAAATTACTTTTAACCGAATTTCAATAAAATAGGCTCAGCAGTTTAAAACATAGAGAGTCGGGTACACCACTTTCCTCTATTGTCTATATTTTTTACAGCGTAAGCAATATAAGGAGTTTTTTGGTAGTCCTTCACACATCGAGTTACGTAATCGAAATTGTCACATGTTTCCTTTATTTTCTTATATCCTACAGCCTTTGTTTATTAGGAATAATGTAGGATTCAATAAGAAGTCTAATCTTTCCTCTTTATAACATTAGTGTAGATTCGTTTGTATCATACAATGTGTACCTACTAATTTTGCGAGTCTCACACATTATCCACCCCCTATTTTAATCGAAAAGATTATCTATGAATCACTGTATAAGTTTCTTCTAACCAAATTCAATATTCTGTATGACGAACAGGGATGAAGGGTTCAGAAAAAACAAACACATTAATATGGCTGTTTAGGATCTCTAAAAGTTGTCATGAAAAATGTTGACGCTAAACCACCTGTGTGTGCAATTTATACAGACATGTCAAAAGCTTTTGATTATGTTAATAATAAAAAGTTTTTAACAAAACTAAACGTTTATGGTATACGCAGAAAAACTCTTGATTTAATAAAATCTTATTTAAGTAATCGTCAGCAAGTGCCAGAACTCTTTAGAGTTTGTATGAGATCTAACCGAGAAATAAAACAATCATCTTCGTGTCGATACATTAAATTTGGTGCAGTCCAAGGAAACGTTCTTGGACCGTTACTGTTCTTACTTTATATAAATGATCTACCTCTACCTGACAGTACAGATATTATTAACTCGTCGAGTACCGGTTTTATAGACACAATTAAAGAACAATAGGTCGCGGTCACCGGTGACCGCTTGGTGCTTGACAGTTTAATTGTATTAACCAACAGCAATATAAAATAGATGTCAAAAGTGTCAACCATAATCAACTAGCTCAATAATAATCACTTATTAACTCGTCGAGTACCGGTTTTATAGACACAATTAAAGAACAATAGGTCGCGGTCACCGGTGATCGCTTGGTGTTTGACAGTTTAAAGGGGGCAATCGACAAAAGTCTCGATTTTTTATGATAGAAATTCAAAAGCGGATATTTTGAGAACGGTTAAGTTTGGGTCAACCTCAGTCAAATCGGTCAGGAATGATGGGTACTGCCACCTCTTATAAGATTTAGATCGACTTAACCTGTAACCCTATAGATTTAAGATTATTCAATTTAAATATTTTTTAAATACTTGTAAAAATGTTTGCATGCTAAATGTACTAGGAATGGAGCATTTTTGTAAGATCTTATATATTGCATGTACATTCAGTGCAACTAAATGATTTCTTTTCTATTCTATTGTGTGTTATGTTATTGACTGTTGAACATTCTTTATGTGGGTACACATCATTCACTGTAAGTAATTATTAAGATATCACAGTAAGGAACCTTAGGATGCGTCCACATCTGGTGAATGCGCTGCGAATGTGCCGTAGGAAAGCCCATTCGGGGTATCAGCGAGCTACGCGCGTGCAATCACAGCAATGGTTTGGTGCCTAACTCATGCAAGGTTCGTATAAAATAATCATTTTAAATGCACACGCACAGCTCGCGGGCGGCACATTCACGGCGCATTCGCCATATCGTAGCCGATGACATACATGAACTGTGTGTTCGCATCTCACCGTTATTAAACTTGTGTTTTTTTTTCTATACTTATTATAATTTTTCATTACGTACAAACCACATTTTGTTGAATATCTCTAACGATTTATCAACGAAACATTTTCTTTTCAACAAATATAATATCAAGTTCTTAATAGTGCGTCTGAGATGTGACGCTACTAAAATACTAAAAGCAAATCAAAGGTGACGCATTTTGAATTATATTTATTCATGTATATAGGTACTGTAAATTTCTTGCGAATAAGAACCCTTTCTCCCGCACTATTAAGTTATGTAATTTATACCTCCTATAATACTTATTTCGAAACGAAACGAACTTCGTTCCAATCGGGTGTCCCACATGTGATACCTCAGACATTTTTTTGTATTGTGTAGGGTGAAGATGGTATGCTTTTATGATAATTTATGTTTATATAAAACAAGTATAAAAATATAATAATTTATTTAATTTCTCTTCTGGGTGGCCGTGATTATGATGTGGTTGCCTCCTAACTTTCCTGAGCTTCGGATGCCTCCAAAGTAGTAGTGTTTGCTTCGGATGCATCCAAAGTAGTAGAGTTTGCTTCGGATGCATCCAAAGTAGCATTGTCTGCTTCAGATGCACCCAAAGTAGCATTGCCTGCTTCGGGTGCCTCCAAAGTAGAATTGCCTCCTTCGGATGTATCCAAAGTGGAATTGCCTCTATCTGATGGCTCCAAAGTGGAATTGCCTCCTTCGGATGTGTCCAAAGTTAAATTGCCGCCTCCTTCGTTTGTCTCCAAAGTAGAATTGCCTGCATCGGTTACGTTTTCGGTTGAATTGCCTCCTTCGGTTGCAGAGGCATTATTTGAGGTTGAAAAGTCTTCTTCGGGTAGTACAGACGTAGGGAAATTCAAAATTTTTTCAGTTGTTGACTTTGTAGTTTCATCAGTGTCCATTGCCTTAGGAGTTGTTTCCGTGGTAGTAGTAGTAGAAGTAGTAGTGATTTTTCTATATTTGTAAGGTACCGTGATTGTAGGGACTGTTACTGTCGAATTAATTCTATCAAAATATTTAGCTTTTGTTTTGTCTTTCAGACAAAAACACCTGCAATCTCTATCAGCTTTAGCAATCTGAAAACCACGCGACAGACAACCCTGTATACATTGGAAACTTTTTTCGAAACTTCCACACTTATGAGTTTGTTGATGACCATAACGAAGGATCTCTGTGGAGTTGGTATCTATAACGAATAAAAGAAAATTTTTATGATTAAAAAAGATTACAATCATCACAAATCAATTTTTAAATACTGTGTTAGAGCAGAAATATGAGGGTTGCCTAGTATGTTTTCCAGAAGTGTTAGCAATTTGTAGATTTTGATGGGCTTTTTTTGATTTTCCATTTTACAACCTCATACGTGCGCTTGCTCTCGCCACGATTTTGGAAAAATGGTGGCCGAAATAGTTTTTATGATATCTTTTTTCCTGTGCATTTTATGAGAAAAACGATGATAACAGAATTAAATTACTTACAATTTTCTACAGTTTATGTTTGGAGATTTATGTTTTAATAGTGACGTGAAAATGACTTACTTACTGTTGTTAATATCAGTCAAATTGAATATTTCAGCCCAAGACACAACTGCAAAATATTAATCAATAAGTGGTATAATTAGGGGGCAAGTGAAGTTACTTCGTCACGTGCTGTCCGTCCGTCATAACTAGACTTTATAGGTATAACTCGTGCGAGGTGACTCTCCACCTCGTGCCGATGACGTCAAAAATCTATCACATGACCGTTCTGCAGCTTAAAACCATCGTTGTACTGAATTTTACTCAAATAGTTTCAGTGATTACATATATAGTGAGTCCCGGGATTTAAGACTTAGTTCTCGGTATTCTAGAATTTACGGGATATTATTTTGGCAATAATAATGTGACCTGGTTTGTACCGACGGAGTGCGATGTTACTATTACACATTTTTAGATGAAAACGTAGTTATTACCTATGGAATATTTGTAATATTTACACAAAAGATATTGGGAACTTAAAAGGTTGGTTTTAATTCCCTCTATAAGACATCGCTTTGCTCTATTGTCTATAATAGAGCAAATAATAATAATTTATACAGCACGCAATGTAAAGAATTTTTGGTAGTTTTATCACACATTGATATTTTCACACGATTCCCTTTTTTTCTCTTTTTTGTTGGGACAAGCCCGCCACAGCCTCCCAAAACCGCTGCAACTTCTGTAAGCCAGGATCTACAGTAGATACAACCATGAAAACACCGGAACACTGAAGTCCGGCGCGTTCCAAGGACATGAGTAACTGTCTTGGTTCCCGCAACGAAGTGAATCAGAACATATTATAAGAGGAGAAGAAAAAAAAGCGATAGTTTCCACTTCCCTCGGTGAATTACTGCAGGAGACAGAATGAATTAAAGGCACAAAAAAGAGACTGTACAACTGGGTGAAGCCCAGTCGCCAAGCACCACGGAAATTTGACTAAAAACTAAGCTTTTAACTAAGTTCTTTTTGCTTATTAAATAATAGCTTATGTTCATCAGGGATAATGTAGGATTCCAACGGTAAAATAATTTTTCAATATGATGTCAAATCTTACAAACAATATGTCAAAATTTTCCTCAAAACTAACAGTCCCAAATAAATAAGATTTGACAAAAAAATAACTTAACAAAAACAATAAAATAATGAACAAAACAGTTAGATAAATAATCAGGAACGAAAAAACTGCGCAACGGTAACCAAGTACTATCGCTGCTGCGCTTCCTGGGCGAACGCGGGGGACAGTGAGGTGAAGAGCTATGCGCACGAGTTATACGTCACATATTTTTTATTTACAACGTATAAAGCACATCTTAAATCTTATTCCTTTAAAATGAGCAGTTCTCGTATAGATACACGGTAAAACATATGTACCTCTATAAACACTCTCAGAGATATACTCGATTTTCTTTAAATTTTTCAGGTGGTTTCGGGGGCGATAAATCGATCTAATTAGGTTTTATTCTCAGAAAATAAATACCAAGCAAAGCTCGATCATCCAGGTACTTACAACTTAAGTTGGGGATCTTAAGAAACTAAAATTTATTTGGAAACATGTGGGTGACAATTACTTCATTCTTTAAATAGGTAAGTTAGTTTAAATTGTTGCATACAATACAGGCATATAGGGTGACTTACTATTGGATTCCGTGTTGTTGATTTTTTCAGCCTGAACTTTTACTGTAATATAATTGAAAAGAAATGAGAAGATATTACTAAGGCTACCTACCTACCTACTAGTATAACTTCTAGAGGGGAGTGAATAGGATTCTTAAGGGTCGGCAAGACGCATGTACATTAATGCCCCAAGTGTTGCAAGCGTACATAGGCCGCGGTAATCTTTTACCATCAGGTGCACTGTGTGCTTTTTTGCCACCGTCGTGGCATAAAAAAATAACTTAAAGTTTCTTATTCTTTTATCATCAACAGGCTATAAGCGCTCACTGCTCAACAAAGGCCTCTTCTCATACGAAGGAAGATTTGCCAGTAATTACCACGTTTGCGCAAGTCGGATTAGTGATTTCAAACTTAGAGGTATAATTGGAAATGATAAGTTCAGGTTTCCTCACAACGTTTTCCTGGCTTTGAAAGAAAGAAAGAAAGAAAGAAAAATAATTTATTTATTTTTCTTGCTTTGCAATATAATCATTACGTTTGGCGGTGTGATTGAAAGAAAATCGAAAATTTTGAGGATGCTGTTGCTCATCAGTGTGTCACAGTTTTATGTCATATTTACCAGGGTCTAGCCAAAATTACTCACACCTTTTCTATCTCATAAGTACTCATTATTTTGTATTATTTGTGAGTAATTATTAAAGTTTATGGCCGATTCTATAGAACGTAATTTACATTAGATAATTATCTGCAAGTTAAAATCAGTACTTACATGTAGATCGGTAAATTTGCTTCAGGTAATTATAATATTTTTTTTTTGTAACGTGTAAATCACTTACCCTCATTCTGTACCGTCATCACTGGGTAGTTTGTAGGTTGAAACATCACTAAAGAAAAATGCCGTATATGGGTATTTAGATTATTGAACCTTTGTCATCTATCCTCATCCTAATATGGGTTTTTAATATTTACTAGGTCGTCCGCAATTTCGAGATCGTAAGAGATGATAAATAATTTGGGAATTAGACGAATCCTTCGGACTTCTTACAGCATGTATTTATTGACACAGTAAATTTTAACAATGAAAACCTCTGACCAATTAGTAAACAACCACATTTGAATTTAAAATTATAACCAAAGTTTATATTATGCATCTTGTTATCCTATTAAACTGTCAAACACCAAGCGGTCACCGGTGACCGCGACCTATTGTTCTTTAATTGTGTCTATAAAACCGGTATTCGACGAGTTAAAGCAAATTACTCAAAAATATTTTAATGTAAAGATAAAAAAGTTAAGTAAAACTAGACGAAGGCGACGGAGCCCCACTTCTCGGGGCTCCTATTTCTGTCCGCAGGGTTTGAAGTAACCTAACGAATCCAATGGTATGATTGAAGCTTTAGTGGGCGAACAGGCCATTCTAACCTATTCGCCTACTATGTCAGGCTTTTTTTTTGAGGGGGGAAAATCATCCATTTTCTTCTCCCGCCCGGGTCAGGGCGGGAGGGAGTGTCAGACTCTTACTGACTAAAAACCACCCCGTTCCTACTCCTGCACTTGTCGGGCTCCCATCAAAGATGATCATTTACTACATTTGGTGTTAGATTAAAATTTAAAGGGCAGTAGTGAATAAAACAGTTAGTACTTTTGTTATTTCAGATTTCATATTTTTAGTGTTCAGTAAATACTGAACACTAAAAATATGAAATCTGAAATGTTAAGTACCAACTGAATTGAACCCTAAGTTGTTTTACCAAACATAAATATGTTTGGTAAAACAACTTAGGGTATCAAAGTATGTAAGTATGACTGCCTCGTTGGCCGAGTGGTTGTAAGTGTGACTACCGGGCAAGTGGTCTCGGGTTCGATTCCCGGGTCGGGCAAAGTATTGCTGGGTTTTTAAAAATCTCAGTAGTAGCACGGAGTCTGGAAATGCGCCCGGTTTATGGCAATAGGCTCACCCCCTATTATATGAGACTCATAACAAAAATAGTGAAAAGTGAGTGTTACATTGTACAGTGGAATTAAGTGCCATAATGTGCAATATATATGCAATGTAATGTGCAATATAATGTGCATAATGTGCGTGATGTTAAGATGTTAAGGTATCAAAGTATTTTCTGATGGTCATAGTATTTTATTCCCTATATAATACTAAAGAGTATAAGAAGAAATGATGTGCGAAAAAACAGAACAAAAGGCTTGTTTGTCTCGGAAATTGAACCAAGACTCCTAGTTTAACGTGTGTGCTTGCAACCAGTGGTTTACATACACATACATACATACATAACTTCACGCCTGTCTCCCATGGGGGTAGGCAGAGACTAAGGAACGCCAATTACTACGATTCTTACATACCTCTTTCGCTTCATTCACATCATCAACAGTCATCAATCTTTTCATGCATGCTCGTCGGTTAAGGGTACTTTTAATTTGGCCCTTCTTTAATATATCGCCAATCTGGTCACTATATGTCCGTCTACGGCGCCCTCTACCGACGGCCCCATTCATATCTGCTCTGTATACTTCTTTCGTTACTCTACTTTCATCCATCCTTTCTACATGTCCAAACCAGCGTAACATTCCTTTTTCAATCCTTGTCACTACATCATCTTTCAATCCACACCTCTCTCTAATAACACTATTTTTCACTTGATCACTCAATTTTAGTCCACACATACTTCTCAGGGCTCTCATTTTCACCGCATTAATCCTGCTTTCATGCTTCTTCTGCCACACCCATGATTCACTACCATACATAAGCATTGGTGTCAATACACACTGCATTACAGCAAGTCGAGCTTTGCTGGATATTATTTTACTTGACATTAGAGGTACAGAGTGTAAAGCATTAACACTATTTCCCGCTTTCACTCTCCTTTCAATATCCCCGTCACACTTTCCATCTCTCGTAAATATGTGTGGTATCAGTAGTTTAATGATGTGTTGTATACATTACTGTGTATTACTGTGTTCATGTAAGTACTTTACTTACTATTATTGTTTCCTTGGACAAATTTTAAAATTGACCATTTTATTAAAATACAATATAGCAATACAATGGATCTCGTCATAGCTGCGTTATTGATATGATAGTTTGATACGTAATTACTTTTAGATAAAATTTTATGGCAATCTTATTACTCGTGCCATTATTTATAGCATATGAATGAATTTAATTAGCATTGTTCATTTATATGTTCATTTTAATACAATTCAATTATAATATTGGTACTTAAATATGGGTACCTACCCCTACGGAGAACCTAACGGGTTACCGGGGCTCCGGCTCGAAGCGCAGGAGAAGGAACGGGGTGGTTTTTAGTCAGTAAGAGTCTGACACTCCCTCCCGCCTCACCGAGGCGGGAGCAGTCATTCGATGATTTTCCCCCCTTAAAAAATAACCCTAAGTAAAAATTATATTTTCTTTGATTTCTTTTGTTTTCTTTTTAAGTATCGTGTTTTGTCTGTTGCTTGGCTCCTATTGATCATAGCGTGATTATGATGTCTTCCTCAATACAAAGACTATACACAAAAATGAATTAGAACCAGTAGTTCCATGATATGAACAAATAAACTGTTCAAATTTGAAATATTAAGTAGATGTACTTACTTAGCATAGACTGACATCAAGAGATGGATAAAGATAATACACTTGAATCAGATACGGAGACTTGACCAAAAACTGTGGCGCCACGAACAATTATTTCTTTGGAATAAACAAAGCGAATGCTTTCGTTGTGAAAAGAATTCGACTGCCACAACATTTCTTTTACAACATCAATCAAAATCATACCAATAATTAAATCATCATTTGGGTGGCCATAGAGAAGTCGATTCCAAGAAATCCGTCTCAGAGTCTCTTTCCGATCGCCTCATTCTGATGCCATTATCACATACCTGATTTATTAATTAGCTCTTGAATGCCAAGTTATATACATGGATAGGTTTACTTTCTACACAGATTAATGAAAATCAAATGATTTTACCCGTGGCTAACCTTCAAGTATTAAATGACTGTATATTTTATTAAAATGATTCTTTATAGGGTATTTTACAATGTTGTGGTGGCCCGGAGGTTTAAGACGCTGGCTTCTCATGCATGAGAATGCGCGTTCGAAACCTACAAACGGCAAGTACCAATGTGACTTTTTCTGAGTTGTATGTACTTTCTAAGATTGTTTAGACACCACTGACAAACGGTGAAGGAAAACATCGTGAGGAAACCTGGGCTTATAATTTCTAATTGTAAGTTTGTAATCGCACACCCGCATTGAGCAAGCGTGGCGATTAATGCTTAAACCTTCTCCGTATGAGAAGAGGCTTTGCTCATCAGTGGGCATTTATAGGCTGTTGATGATGATGATGATGATGATAGGGTATTTGTTTATTTAATGAACTAGCTTCTGCCAGCGGCTTCGCCCGCGATCCCAGAGGTAAAATGCCTATCACTTCAGACCATAATTTACCCCTGTTCCGAATTTCATTCCGGTCCCTTCAGTCGTTTTAATATGACTGAGTAACAAACATACACATAAACTCACATATTTTTATTTATAATATCGAGTCAAGCTAATTTCAACCATTGGCCTTTCAGTTACAGCGTAAAGTCTATGAATGAGTATTGTAAAAGTTAGAGTAGACAAATACAATCAGAAATCACCGAATTGCTAAGCTATCTGGAGTGTCACGTGTTATTGTGAGTCAACCATAAAAGATAGACATGTGCTGTCGAGGAATATTTTTTATATAATTTTAAGGAGAATATTTCCGTGATACATGATTTCTATGCAGCTTTAACCTATAAGCCTGCACACGCGACGGAAGTTTAAAAAAAGGAATAACTTCTCCCGTTTTCCCAATATTTCCCTTTACTGCTCTGCTCCTATTGATCGTAGCGTAATGAAAAGTATACTATAACCTGCCCAAGAGTATGAAGAATAATTGTGCCAAATTTCGTTAAAATCCATCGAGTAGTTTTTGTTTCCATAACGAACATACAGACAGACAGACAGACAGACAAAATTTTACTGATTGCATTTTTGGCATCAGTAGCGATCCCTAACCACCCCTTGATAGTTATTTTTTAAATATATTTTATGTACAGAATTTACCTCTCTACAGATTTATTATAAGTATAGATTATGAACTTATTGCTATGAACACTATAAGTAGTCAAATTTATTAAAGTTGTCGTTTGAATTGAACTGAAGACTTCTCGCCACTAAGATGTGGTACTTTAAAGGAACAGGGTGCTTACTCTTGAATCCAATTCCGATCGATCGACATTGGTATTGTGAAATTTCGTGCTCTTGAGTTGCAACACTAGCGCCCATTGCATCCGTATTGCGTGGATATTGAATGAACTAAACGGTATTGAGTTTGGCTTTATATCCCGTACTTTGAATGCTATATTAACAGCTACGATAGAGGTTGTGTAGTGTTGACATTGAATAATTATTGAGGTTTCATTGGATTGAAATTGCATTGACATTGAGATTGGTTTCAAGAGTAAGCACCCTGGGCATACAAATGTGCTGTCTCGACCGGAGTGATATCACGGCCTCACAGAAAAGCGTGCCTGCATCGTGATTCGTCGTGTGAGTAAGGTTACCGGAGGCCCAATTACCCACCTCTCCAATCTCTCCAATTCCCGAATCCCCTACTATCCTGAATTCATTATCCCCAAAATGCCGGTACCGCACTTGTAACACCTCCGGTGTTTCAGGTGTCCATAGGCAGCGCCAATTGCTTACCATCAGGTGATCCGTTTGCTTTTTACCGGCTAATTTCATAAAAAAACTAAAACGTATTGAAATATCTATTCTGAAGCTATTAAACGACAGCGACGGGCAGTCTAAGAAAATTCAAAATGGCACGATGTAGGTAATCTTCCAAGGTATTTCAAATAAAATAATGAAAATTTGGCTTTAGGAAATAGTAATAGAGAAACAAATAATGCATAAAACATATTTTTATGTTAAACGGTTTTAAGCAGATCCATTCGATGAATCAAATCATTTTGCTTGATATTCATAATGAATTTAGTTGTTACTTTATAATATTGTATGGTCATTAAAATTAAGAGTGTTTGTACCTAATATCAGACCGACCTGTCCTCAAGAAGGGGGTAAAACTTTAATTACTGGATTTGACCTAACCGAACAACACACAGGACAAGCTTTATAAAACCTTAATTTGAAAAAAATAATCTATTTGTATGTTTGTGAAGTGGAATCTTGCAACTTCATTTTGAGGCAGCATTATCTTCAACCAATTGAGCGTAAATTTTGTATGTGCGTTTTAGTTTACATTACTATAAATGCTTAGCTGAGCAATAAACACTACCCCATTTGAATGATGTAGAAGCTTATCGTTGGATTTAGGAATATCTGCTTAAGTACATATTTCGTATTTATTTCCTTATTGTCGAAAAAGTATGTAACTACACTAAAAAAACAAACGTAATTGTGCCGCTCGATACCTAGGCATAATTACTGTACCAAACGCAAATATAAGTTTGTTGAATGTTAGGTTTCCCGCCAGTGCGTAGTTTTGAAATTCGCTTGAAGCGCTATTATAAATGCGATAATTTGTGAATTTGTGTGGTTGTTTGTTACTCAGCCTCACATCATCATCAAACGGCTGAAGGGATCAGAATGAAATTTGGAACAGAGGTAGATAATGATCAGTTGTTGGAGTTTACGCGCTAACGTGCGTTTCAGGGCAAAAATCTGCTACTACGTTAGCATGCTAGGATTGCGAGATCTCATGGCGGAATGGCAGTAACGACTATCGAAACCGAGGGCTGGGCTCACTGTACGGAAGTTTCGGTAAGTTTCTGTTTCTGATTGAGTGAGAGGAAACGTCCAGATGTTATTAACGGTTTACCGTAAGCAGGACTCTGCGAACGGCGAGCACGCCGCCCGACCAAAACCAGACCTGACCTTGTGGCGCATTGCGCGCCTCATAAAGCTATTAGTCCACCACAGATTGGGCCCAGTAGGGCTAATACTGACATGGAGCCGCGGAAGACTTAACGGTCTGCCGGGGGTTTTAGTCAGCAAAAGTCTGACGCTCCCTCTCGCTTCACCCAAGGCGGGAGAAGTCATCTTATGATTTTCAACTTTAAAAAAAGAAGTTTGACCAAGAAAACGCTACTTACGTTATAAAAAGAAAAAAATGTGTTTCGCAATGTAAGTGGTAATTACTAGAGATTAGTATTTTATTTAATTATGTGGTATCAGGGAAGGTACAGATCTTAAAATAAACGATCTTGCGAAATTCGTTTTCGTTCAGGATTTCTCTTAATCTTCTTTAACATCGTTTATATTGATTATGGGGCTCCTCCTGCTTAATTTATATTCAGCTAGTGTTTTTTCATCACATCTTGCGCTAAACATAGCAATTTGTATCGTAGTTGGCGTAAGTCGAAGGGACTTATCACCTTCTCTCTTTGACATTCTGACTTTATAGTCATGGACTATTACATTGCTTGAAAAGGGACTCAGTAGTATTTACAATTTTATTGTTTTTCAAAATGTGATTTCTTCATAAATATAGTAAACATTGCCAGTTAAGGAGTCAAAAACCAGTCTAGCATTCGATTCTCGGTTCAGATTAATTAATATAGGAGTTATTTCGGTTTTTGGAAAATGTATCAGTAATAACGAAGTTTGGATTTGTGCCCCGTGGCAATAACTGCAGTTAGACTTTAGCAATTTGGCTGAACTGCAGCCAATGTTTATAAATTATTGTATATAAGAGGCTGTTGAATATGTCTTTATTCATAGAGAACTTGAAGTTGAAGATATTGCGTATGATTTTACAACCCACGAGCCAACGGCGCATTTGACAGATGATTTAATCTATACATTGCGTATCTATATTCTTGAATAATTAATATACATATAAAGCTAAAAAGTTTTTGTGTTTGTTTAAACGCTCTAATCTCCAGAACTACTAGATCCGAATTACATATTCTTTGTATTGAATAGTACATTCATCGAGGAAGGATATGAAACATAACCCTGAAATTATTAGGAGCGGTGGGTAAAACCGCGCGGAAGGAGTA